GACTCTGTCCCAACAAGCGAGTGATGCCTCTGCTGTCAGTCCCTGCCTGGGGCATTTATGATACTCCCATCTCTTCTCCCTAAAAGTGTCAGCAGACAGAGGGTGCGAGTGTCCGTGTGTCCGTGCGTATGTGGGTGCTGCAGTGGCTGCTCCCTTTCCATGAAGAGACTCCTGTCCAGGGTGCACAGGGCTCCCGGGGGAAGCAAGGCTGACTGGGATGCCTTCAGCCATCCTGGGGATTACATGACCAACAGCTTAATTCCAAGTTGTGCCAAAGCCGCCTCATCTCCCAGGTGGTATAAAGGAGCCCGAATAATCCCTTCATTCCTTTACCTGCCACCATAATGCAGGACTCCTACATAGACACTCCGTCAGAAAAAAAAAAAAAAGATTTCTTCTTTAATATCTGAGTTTCCCATATAGGTCCATCCTCAAAAAAACCCCAACCCCAAGCTGTATTTCTAGGCTGACCTACCTCACAGCTGGTGCTTTTCACCTGTACTGCCCAGGTCGCTCTACAGCTATGGAAAGAATTGATCCACAGCGAGCCAGGGCCAAGCTGGACCTTCAGAGTCACCATTTTCTTTGCTTCTAGGCTGGGATTAGCGGTGCCTGAGGGTGGGGGAAAACACTCTCCTGTAACTCCCTCTCAAATCTTCAGTGCAAACAGGTATCGGATGGGTGGCATGTGTACAGGCTGCCCTGCCCAAGCTGCGCAGCTACACAAGTGCCCTTCGAACACAGCCTCCACACTTACCGGCTGTGGGACAGGAAGGGAAAAGTATTTTCCCATTAATCATAGAATGGTTTGGGCTGGAAGAGACCTTAAAGGTCATCTAGTTCCAAACCCCAGAAATAAATGGAAAGAGATCATTGCATACAATTCCTGCAGTCAAGAAATGCATTTCCTATCAAATCAGTGGTACAAACCAGGGTTAATGCAACCTTCTGCGGTACAAAGGGAAAGATTTCTGGGTTGAGCTTAAGGTGCCTGAAACAGACCCACATGGTGGCTCCTACTGCTGATACTCGCTGGGATTTATTTCCATTGCTTGCTACCTGTGAGAGATGACCTGTTTGAAAGCAAGTCGTAAATACTCTGCTACATCTGAGCAAACGGCAATGTAAGAATCCCTCCTGGCTATTTTGCAGAAAAAGAAAAATTTGGAAAGAGCTGAAACTCAAAAGGAGTTGGTTTCAGTCAATTATGTTACAGCAAGTCAATCAGATCCAGCATCCACATCTGTTTGAAATAACCCTCAGGTAGATAATAACATCTAAGACAAGTATCACTGAAAGAGATTAGAAAGAAATAAGATGCTGTTTTCTTTCATTGAGCGCGTTGCTTTGTGCCTTGGACAATGGCTGATACACACTCGGGTATCTGCTCTTGAAAAGTTAGTCACTGCTCTTCTGCCACGCAGCCTATGATAAGGGAAGGCAAAGCATTTACAAATAGGAGACCGCATTATAAAATCCATAAAAACTGACAGTGCTGTGTACAGATACCCGTGTAGAACTACAGAATTAATTATATCCAGACAAAATGCTTCTGCTGATGCTCTCACCTACTGCTTTGTGCTGACAAAATGCAGTTTTTGTGGAAACACGTGCTTTTCCCCCAAACCTGTGATTATTCATTTAAAACCTGACCCTCATCTTTCACAACACAATCAGTTGAATATTTGCCATGATTTTGCCACGTACATTTGCCCGCCTTCCTCTCACCAAGCCAGCAGCTATACCCACCAAGGCAAACACACGAATTAGGGCCCGCCAGGCATTTCTGCTGATTAGATTAAAGCAGTCAAACGGTTCTGCTCTTAGTTTTGCCCTTTTTTCTTTAACCACAGTTAAATTTTGGCAAAGAGACAAAAATCTGCCATAGTAGCTCAGGGGCGCTGCTCTTCCAGAGGAGATGCGCACATTTACAGCCTGTGCTCACAAGACCGCTGGTCTTACTGGAAAAAAGGAACTGGTCAACCTGATGCCCAGCCCCACACGGACTCATATGCTGCAACACAGGTCAACTTACTGGCACAGCAGGAAACCTAAGGACCATTTTTGGTGATTGCAAACTCAAACTAGAAGCTCGGGGGAAAAAAAAAAGGCCATTTGTGAGGCTGCAGTTTGTTGAATTTTCCATCATCATGAATTACTGTGTTCATTAACCCTTTGTTTGCCCTCTGCTATTCAAGACACAGCTAGCATGGCCCAGCCTGCCTGCGTGTCACAGCCCCAGCGTAAGGTAGCTTCTGTCCTGGCCTTCACGCTGCCTCACTTCAAGGAACCTCTGCATTTCCACGCTACTTCATATATTATATCACACCCACAGTCAACAATTAAAATGAATAAATAATTCAAGTTTTGTAAGAAGTAAAATGTTAAATTGTTAAAAACCACAATTATTTACATTTTGATTATTCGACAGGCTTGTTTCCGACACTGGTACTACTTCATTACCAGAGAAAGAAACGGGCCTCACCTTCAGTTAGCAGCTACATCCCAGCACCATCCCACCCGGGTTTGGAGGTGTGCATGTTTCTGCCCCAGCAGCCTTTGAGCGCACCTCTTTGAATTCAAACACATAAGCTGTACCAGGATTTTATTTTGTTTTTTCTCCATTAGGAGTTACTCTGTTACAAGACTTGTTCAGGGACAAATCAACCCCTTTCTCCACCTACCTACGCAACCCGGGCTGCTTCCACGCTGAATCAGGACATCCACAATCCTGTGCCCGTCTTTGTCCCCAGGCAGCTAGGCAATTGTGTCCCAACCTGGCAGAACTTTGCCTGTGCTTCAGATGACACCCTGTGAGCACTACTGCTGGCAAACCTTCCCTGGAGGGGGGTCTCCAGGACCTCAGGCCACCCCCGTGTACCCCTAGCTCCTGCCCAATGCCTGCTTCTGTCTCCTGCCAAGACCATGAGAAGTTACGGGAGGGCACCAGGAAGAGCCAAGGCCTCTCAGATGCATGATTTTTTTGTAACCACCTATCCCACTTTAGTGGTCTGCTGGTCACTTTATGCAGCCACCACAGACCGCTTTGGTACCACTTAACATCTCCTTTCAATAGCTTCAAAGATCTGTACTTGTTGTTGCTGTTTTCAGACTCTTCAGCTATGTACTTGGTTCACAGGTTTAATATCTGCCCCACAGCTGGTTCAACCTGGCCTGAACACACCTGATGCAGAGCCAGGCTGCTGGCTGAACCAACCTTGAGCTTGTGATCATGCACGTTTTGCCTCCCATCTACAACCATCCTGGGTGTGAAATCTCTTCATACCTTTGTCAAGCTGACCCTCAGCCACCAAGATTTGGGTAACTACTGCTTGTTTCTTACTCCTTCCTCTGCTTCCCTATGATTAAAGGTGGCAAGCTGTTCAGATGGCAGGATTCTGGAGAAGCTTGATGCCATTTCCAGAACATTGGTTGCTGCTGGTTTCATTGCCAGGTTAGGTCACCCCAAAGATCTCGACTTTAACAGTAACGAAACGCATAAACTGAAATACTGTTGTATCACCTAAGATTGCCATCCGTCGGGTATTGTTTCTTTCCCCTTTAAAAGCCTTGAATGGATAGAGACACAGGCAGATCTTCAAAGGTACTTAACAGTTCCTTAAGATTGTTGGTGGGAACAAGGTATGTAAATGCTCTTACACATATGGGTCTTACACATCTGCCTCAGGTTGCTAAAAACGTCCAGAAGTCTGGCTGAAAGGTATTTCCAAAGAGGAGCAGGCCAGGGGGTGGGGTGGGTGTGTCTACCTAAAAATTGAGGTTGGTGAAAGCAGAACTAAGTACAAGGAGATGGACTTATTTACATTTTTGACTGAAAGCTCTGCGAGTCATGCACATTTTGACTTCTCAAACCTCATATGCACCATCTTCTGTGCCAGAGTAATCCTCCTTTTAGAAAAAAGTATTCCATCCTGTGCTGCAAGCCAGAGCAAGACATTTGTCTCCTCCCATCCCGTTCAGAGCTTGCTCTGCTGTCCTTCACATGGCAGCAGGAAGAGCTGGTTGCTCTGTCACTGTATTTTCTGAAGCAGTCAATGCAATGGCCTGTCAGAACTGGTAGACATTGTTCCAAAGACTTGATTTGCTTCATTTTGGCATTTCCACAGTCATCCTTTACATATAATTACTTTTTAATTTAAAATTATTATTTTGTATTTTGCTGGTCACTTCCATATTGCTTCATTCAAAATCCAGAAAACAGTTCAAATAAAATCGAAGCTTAAGTGCAAACTAACTTTCCAGTGAACCGCTATGTGCATTTTCTCCAGTCCAGTGTCTGTCTTCCAGTTTAAAGGACCCTTCCCACCAACACCCCACAGAACACCAGCAGGCTTCATGACCCATATCAAACTCTCCAGCTCTCCATCTTGTCCTCAGAGTTGCCTGACAGCATCCCCAACTCCCTTCATGATCATGAAGAAGAAAAAGAGGGAAGAATTTGTTTGGGCCTTTTTACATCTATAGTCAGCAGGTATAAAACAGAGGAAAGCAAAGCTTTTTGCATACAGATCTTGGTTTCTTGTCCCGTCTTTTCACTTCAAAAAGAAGATGTTGGAGGTGTGGTTTTGCTACTCTTCTGAAAGGGTTTTTTTGTTTAAAGTGTTTGTCATGTTGGCACATATACAAAAATGGTCATGTCATGTACCAGTTCTGAGCTGGAGTCTCTGTGGTTAGGAATTGGCACAAAATCATGGTGTGGCTCAGAAAAAAGGTTTAGCTGTATATTAGAGTCACATCATCATTTCTTGGAAAGCCACGATGAAGATCTGAACGATTATGAAAAGCCAGGTTAGCCATTTTCAGTTGCTGGGATAGAAAGTGTTAGAGAAAGAAATTGGATTCTCAATTTCAATTACTATGCTATCACACATGATATAAAAATTGTCCATTTTTCCCCCTAATGGAAACTG